ACCACAGGCGCCCGCCACAACGCCAGGCTATTTTTTGGTTGCAGCCATCATCGTTGTTTGGCGGGTCCGGGCTGGGGATTCGAACCCGACACCTTAGGTGTACGTGGCTGGCGCCTTAGCCGGTTGAGCTATAGGCGCCGAGCCCAGAATTAAATTCTTTAGGGGCAAGAGAAAGGCTTCACAGAAGAGGTATTAAAGAAAAATTTATTCCAAAATATGTTAAAATAGTGAGGAAGACTTAATTCAGGACTGTTGCAAGAGGAACATTACGGTAGGGGGCAAAAGTGTGCTCAACACCAAGACAATAAGGTAAGTGGGGACTTAGAGCCAAGGAGCAGAGTGGGGAGCCCATAGGTGGAAAATTACTGAGTGGAGACATCAAGGGTAGGGGGACTCTTGCTGAAGGCAGGCCAGGGATGGATTAGCTGTCAAGAGTGAGGCATAAGGAACTTAATTAGTTATTAAGAGGATCAGATATCAAGGATGGGGAATCCTTTCTAAACTGCCTTAGGATTCTTGTTAGAAGTGGACTCAACAAAGACAGACATAGAAGCCCAAGGTCAAGGCCTAGTTGGGAAGAGGGCTCAAAGTAACAGAGTAGCTTAACTGAAGTTTGCTCAGAGAGTCTTTGTTAGAAGTGATGTTTGTTTATTTGAATAATAATCTTGGCAAGTAAAAAAAAAAGGAGGGGAGTGGGGAGGATAGGAGATAAATTCGAGATGGAAGGAGGAAGTGGTCATCTACTCTAGTAGGTGTCTAGTAGAATTCTCTGTGACGATGGAAATGTTTGATATCTGTGCTGTCTGATCCAGCAGCCACTAACCACATGTGGCTATTCAGCACTTGGTATGTGGCTAGCAAGGCTGAGCCACTGAATTTCCATTTAAGTTAAGTGGCCACTGTCCTGTCGAGTGCAGATCTGCAGCATCGGGTTGACATGGTGTGGACTAAGGGAAGAAGGAGAAGCAGGAGGCAGGTCTAGGAAAAGGTGCCCAGGCAGCACCTGCCACTTCTGCCTTTACCCTCAGCTCCAGCCCTGCCCAGCCCTGCCCAACAACAAAGACTTCGGACACTGGACTCTCAACCCCATGGAAAAAGAGAGGGATTTTTTTTTTTTTTTTTTTT